GTGAATATGTTTCACTTTAACGCATAGAACTTCGTAATTGTTTAATAAAATCAATACGAAATAAATAAACAAACTCGTATTGACTGAGTAACTGTGTAGGCATTCCGAGATTTTTTTACGTTCGAACGTTATTCGGGTTTAAAAACTGTTGTAACTTGTGTGAGATACATTTAAAGGTTTTTTTTATTAATTTACCTGTTAGTTTGTGTGTAAACTTTAGCTTCTAATGCAGATGTAAATTAGTTTAACTTTCACTAACCGAATGGTGTATTGATTTAAAATCTATTTGATTTCCCCTAAAAACGAGCATATTGCATGGGCTAGTATCATTTAATTCATTTTCCAGGATACTTACTGAGCAACATAATCTTAAAGAAAATTAAATTCAACGGATTAAAGCTAGATATGTATATTTTTCTAATTAATTCTATGACTTCACTATTGGTAAAAAATGTGGGAAATCATTTCTTTTAATATACCACATCAAATTAAACTTACTGGATTGATTACATAAAAAATCAGAATTCTCGTTATCTCTTCAACATTGTACAAAAGTCGATTCTGCACAAACGGAAACTGAGTAAAAGTTTGATAATATAACACGTTTTATTGCAACTCAAATCGACACTAAACTAGCATTTGAGCAACATAATTTTCCATTTAGGTATTTTATTTTTTGACTTCTTTTATTTGCGTTCGATTCATGTTTCAAAGCATAAAAAATTGCTGTTTGGTCGATTTTTTGCTAATTTTATAAAATTTATTTTTCAATATTTAAGTTCCTGTATATCCCATGAGAATCCTAATCAGGAATTATCCTCAATTTTCTTCATTCCGTATCCTCTTAATTCTGTTTCAAAATTCAATTTCCAAACTTAAATTTATATTCATTTATTCCTACACGATTCTTATTTAAATCCAATTTTTATTAAAAGGAAAAAAATCGGTCAATATCCAGATAATGGCTGCGATTGTTGAGTCATATGGCACATATTTTTAATTTATTAAATGTATTGTGCTTAAAGCCTTGTTTTCGTTAAGAAATGTATATCCATGCCATTACTGTTAAGCCTTATCTTTTAGGCATTAATTTAAATAAATTATTGATACTCCTTATTTTTAGTAACTTATTTTTATATCTTTTTATAGTAAAAATGAGTTCATGGTTCCATCGATCTCTACAGATTATAATTTGAGAATTTTCACAATGTTATAAAATGCTATTATCTCTATAAGTTCATAAAAAAAACAATTATCATTGAGGAGAAGAATCGTTATTTTATTAGATAATTAACAGAAAATATAAAAATTAGGCTACTATAATTTAAATTGGTATTTAATTTACGTTATGAGGCTATCATAATAATGTTGACCGTCTAATGGTTTTCCTTTCAGATGAGCCCATGTCAACCGACTTTCTCCTCTCTATCCATTCTAGCATGAAAAATCGCAAATAAACGAATTTTGATGGTTTTTAATCGAGGTTATATACGTTTTTTATCACGCGAGTTTCTAATTAAATGAAATCAGTTTACCTTGTAATCTTCGAATATAAAAAGTAATTAACTGTTTATGATAACATTGAAACACGTGTCATCCTGTAATTTTTAAATAAATATTAGCTTAGTGGCGATATTATTTGTAACGTACAAGTATATATACCAATAGAATAATAATATTAGCGTAAACAAAACGTGTCTTATTTGGCACAATCGCGTCCTCTGAGCCATCAGTTTGCTGGTGGTTAGTTCAATTAAAAGAGCTCATCGGCAATCAACTCGCTAAATGAAGTGTATTAAAATCTAGCGACTATAATAGTCTTGTTGGAAGGAGTTGGTTTCTTAAGTCCACAGCGCAGAACAGGAAAATACGCAATTAGCCAAAAACGAAAAAAAAAAAAAAATGTATCCCACCATCTGACAACGGTTCGGGCTTGTCGTACGCGTTAATACATCGAAAGTTTTTCAGCTCTTCCAGATATAGACTGTGACGTTAGTCGGCAGCGTCATGTCAGTCTGCCTCGAAAGTAGCCGGCCGAGAGACGGTCTCAAGCTGCCTCTGAACCGCAGTTTCAGCGAGCCCGGACCCCAGACGCCGACGTCCCATTTGCCCCTGAGTCCCCCGAAGAGGTTCAAGCTGGAGGCCGCCAGCGTCAGCCTGCCGACGAGCCCGTGCGCCGAGAGCGCCCACCTGCAAAGGACCTGGGTGCTCGGCAACGTCAAGCACGTGGACGGCGACGCGCTGAGGTCGAAGATGGAGGAGAGGAAGCCCGGGCCCAAGTCGTACGTGCTGCTCGACTGCAGGCCCTTCATGAGCTACAACATCAACCACATCGCCGGCGCGATCAACGTCAATTGCTCGGACAGGTTCAACAGGCGAAGGTTGCAACAGGGGAAGGCCACGCTGGCCGATCTGGCCACCACCAGGGAGGGCAAGGAAGTGTTGAAAAAGAGATCATTTCGTGAAGTGATTATTTATGATGATTCTACTAGTGACAAGGAGAGGATTACCGTTGGACATCCGTTACTTCTGGTGCTCACTTCTTTGGTCGACGACGATAAAGAACCAGCGCTGCTTATCGGTGAGTCGCCTTGTTTATTATATTCTCATAATACATTATACATTTAGTTAAACATATACAGGCTTAAGGTCACTTAAATGTTCTACAACTACCTAAAGGTTCTACAAAGATTCAATAATCAAACAAAAAAACAGAGAGCAATATCTTTATAACTAACTTTATAACTACTATCTACAGATACATATTTTTTAGCAAAAAAAAAATACAATCAATAACAATGAATCCGCGTTTTAACTACACAACACTAGTTCGTATAATTTGTAGTTCCGTTAAAAATTGTGGAAGTCCCTGATATACATTCAATTTATTTATTGTCATAAAAAAGCGGATGGTATGCAAATAATTGTTATTTAACACACATTACATATTTTAATACAGTAGGCGTGCCGTTGATTAGATTGTTTAAATCGCTGCATCGCTAGGTTGAATTTAAATGCAGTGATTTTGAAATATTTTTGAGCTTAATTAAATATTTATTAATCTCGATGTATCGTTAAAACGTGCTGCAAATGGATTCTATTTGCAATTAAGCGATGTCCGGAATCTTTTTAATTTTTAGATATGTACTTTAAAGCAATAAAAATCACTGCTGAACAATTATTGACATATCTCGAATAAATCAAATAGAGAATTCTTCATACCAGATTTTAATGTTTCCTGCTCGGCTTTTAGCATTTTTTAGCATCGAATCTGACTGGTGATTTTGTCATTTTATCGCTTGTAAGAAGATTTTAGCTGTACTGAGTATAGGTATTTATTTCAAATCCATGACACATCCTGCAAAATTTTTCTTTATGTTTATTTATATTTTCGTTAGTCACCATTTTACTTTAAGAAAAGCCTTCTTGTTTTTCATTCGGACGGTCTTGAATCAAAATAGAATCTCCGACAAATCAAAATGATTGTACCTCTTGATGAAAATACAACTCTTCATTTCATCGTGCTTTCGAACTGCTATTAGATTTTGCTACTTATTATTCAATTATCTCGATTGTGTGTCGTGGAAACTGTTGATGGATAGAAATGTTTAAGTGCTGATGCAAGTGAATAGTCCAGAAATATTCAACGCATAGGTGGGTGTGGATGGATTTTATTTTAAGTTGCAAGTACATTTTGTTCGTTAATATTTATTTATTTTTTTCGTAATTGTTTGCAATTTGTTTAATTCTATGAGTTCTATGCAACAGTTTCAAAGATAAGAGATCCTATATATCAATTGATTGCAATTCCATATCACTCTATTTCCTTCATACGACACTAATGGAAGTTGTCTTTGTTGCATCCTAATGGAACCATATTATTATTATCTATACATAGTTTTCTTTTATGAACCGAAAATTTGCATGCTCTTAAAATAAACCAAGTAACATGTTAATAAAGTAATTTATACAATCAAATCTCGAGTAATAAGAAAGTTGATTTATTTTTGAAGATCTAATTTATAAACCTGAATGCTCTGTTCACCAATCTATTATGCAACTCACACTAATGATGCATATCTGTTAAAATTTTCAAATGCTATGAAGTCATCTGCTAAAATAGGTTCTCTAAATTGGTTTCTGAAATAAAAATTTCGCGGCTAGTCTCAGTCCGTAGGTTAATATTTAATATTTTTGCGTCGGAAATAATAATTGCAAAAAAAACGTTCATGATGTAATTTCTACCTTTCGCTCATCGGGTGAATTGCATTGCAATTTTTTTTATAAAAAATTCCTCATTTTCTCCCCCGTTACCTCACGATCGTAATAAACACTGATTCCTTGAAACAATTTCATCTCGTTTCCATAACATTTATGAATTAAATTCCCTTTTATTAACGGCATGAATTAACCATTCATTCGTCCAATTTTTCACGACGAATTTAATCAGAACTTTTTGAAAACACGACGGAAGTGGTTCTTTTTATCAATGGGACCGTGTATGCGATAATTCGCTTTCCGCAAAACTCTCGTCGATTCGTCGAATCAAGTTAAAAATGAAATTTCACACGGACTGTTCTAATTAAATAATAACGCTGTTTAAATTCGTTAATGGGTTATTTTTGTGAATCATTTGTTTGGCCCCTATTTTGGTTAAGATGTGACCTTTAAAAAACTACGGGTAATTCTGCGGTCATAAAATGCATCAAATGTATCATGAGTAGAGCTGAATAGAGTATACATAGAGTAGAAAAAAGTAGAATAGAGTAGAGTAGAAAGTAAAGTAGGGGAGGGTATAAGAGAGTATAAGAGAAAGTATAATAGAGTATAAGAGAGTATAAGAGAGTATAAGAGAGTATAAGAGAGTATAAGAGAGTATAAGAGAGTATAAGAGAGTATAAGAGAGTATAAGAGAGTATAAGAGAGTATAAGAGAGTATAAGAGAGTATAAGAGAGTATAAGAGAGTATAAGAGAGTATAAGAGAGTATAAGAGAGTATAAGGGAGTATAAGAAAGTATAAGATAGTATAAGAGAGTATAAGAGAGTACAGGAAAGTATAAGAGAGTATAAGAGAGTATAAAAGTGTAGAGTAGAGTATAAGAGAGTAGAGTAGGAGAGAGTAGAGTAATTTTTCTGTCAAACGAAATGTCTGAAAAGAGCAGAAGAGAGTACAGTGGGAAATATAAATAAGAATACGAATATGAAGAGAGTAGAAGAGAGAGAGAGTAGAGTATTAAGGAGAACTATATTTGTAACACGTTACTACACCTCTATACTGAAAAAATTGATTCCCATCTCGATTAAACTTCTGTCACACGAAATGTCATTGTCAATTATGACACTTTTTGTTATGTATCATCGAACGCATCTTAAAGTCCTACTTTTTCCAATTTAATGCGAAAAAATAGTAGTTTTGCCTAAAGTATTGTAGATTAGAGTCGTTCGAAATGTTTGAATGGAGCAGAAGAGAGTAGAAGAGGGTTCAAGAGAGTAGAGTAGAGTACAAGAGAGTAGAGTAGAGGAGAGTACAAGTGAGTAGAAGAGAGTAGAAGAGGATATAAGAGAGGAGAATAGAGTAAAGTAATTCGGAGAATGATATACCGACAAACGTCGATTTCCAACTTATTAAACTTCTGTCATTTGAAATGTCATTGTCAATTTTTATAGTTCTTGCTATGTATCATCGAACGCATCTTAAAGTCCTACTTATTCACGTAAAAAGCGAAAAAAAATTGTTATATTTCGTAAAGTAGATTAAAGTAGGGTGTTAAATTTCGAAGCGGAGTTCCCGTGCGCCCATTCTATTTTTGTGAATTAAAAAGTAAAAATAAAAAATATAAAGATAAAAATATTAGCATATTCGTTACTTACGCTGGCATCTGATCGGCATCCTAACGTCAGTGATCATTAGCGATGATCCGAAACGATGCTTAAAGGACAATTGCCGGAGCCCGAAAAATGTTGCTCTAATACATTTTTGATGATCTAATAATTGAAGGATATATTTGGAGCTCATCTGAGAGCCACAACAGCCTATCTCTAATGTAATGTTAGTCATGCGAACGTCGAGCCAGAGCCAATTCAGTACAGTGATCTCTCAGATGACCAAAACACTCGAATTCGTCATCCCAATATAAATAAACATTTTTTTTGTCTCTCTCACCAAGGACACCGAGTACGACGTGAATGCAAGTCTATTGCCAAGACGTCTATTAAATTTATGTTACCGCAGCCACCAAAGCAGTTGGAAATATTACAGGAAACGTGCGAAACGCTAAAACGCTACGCATTTCTGCGTACACGACTGACGTCGGACAATTATATTGGGTAATTGCAAATCGTACAATTAGCATATTAATCATAACTGAGTAATTGGCATTCGAAGAAAGCGCTTTTCGGTGCGTGTAACGTTTAACGTGCATTGTATATGCAATAATAGTGCTACAACATTGCGTTTAAACGAAAACCGATTAATCATAATCTTTGTTCGCGAATCCACTTGCGTCTTCCAGATGACAGAAATGTCTTCCTGGACGGCGTGAATCACGTTGCGTTTCTTATCTGCGAAAATAGGCGCAATGTTGAACAATCTTCGTGAGTCAAGCGGAGTTTAAACACCTGTTAGGAAAAAATATTCGTATGTGATGTTTTTAGGAGTCATGTCCAAGAATTCTCGTTGCTAATCGATGTGCTATGCAAATTATTCATATTACTAGGAGATTTGTTTATACGGGCATGCCGCCGTTGAAGTTTTCGCCGAAATGATACAATTTGTACTTAAATTTTTTTTCAATACGGTGATTCTTATGTAATCCCGCATTTTTATAGAGACTGAGTAATAATATGAGTTATGTAGAAATATGGGTATAGTGGGTAATGGTTAATTGGATAAATGAATAAATAAAATGTACCCTTATTACACAACAACACTGTGATAGATACAGTAATTTTTATAAATGTTTGTTAGTATTTCGATTTTTCTCATCAAATATTACCTAACTATATTAGATACTTTAAAATGATTAAAAGATAACTTGATTCGAATGAGATATGTTTTTTTATGAAATATCAAAGGTTGCAGGTAGAGAAAATCATTATTTGGTGCCAGTTGAGAAATTTATTTACCCCGGCGATATCCCGTTAAGAATTTTAGCGAATTTTCCGAGCTAAACACCACCGCTAATCGATTTACTGGTGAACATGTTTGTGTTGTATTAATTTATTTAAATTTTACTTATTATAGGACATTGTCGATTCGAAATCTTCCAGTACATTGGGATGTTCGTAAACAACAACAAACACAATTTTATACTTTGAAGCGCAATTATTTGCAATTTATAAAGTCATTAGTTGAGATGATTCTGTTGGATTATGGCTCATTTGATGATTAATAAAATATACGATTTTGTAGATTATTTTGCCATATCTAGAAAATATCTGTGAATAATAATAATAATAATAGATCACTCATCTCTCCGTGTAGTTTTGAAATATTCGATAATGTTATCTTAACAGTTTCGTGACTCATTTTCGATTGTAAATTCGGCTTTGTTCTAATTTCTGAATATCTTTTCGTGTAG